GTTTAGGAATTAGGGTCTAGGGTTGTGTAGTTACATATTGGGATAGCCACAAATGGCCTGCCCACCTGGACACGCACTTTTTAGACTGACCAAACTCTTTAGAAACCACAAAAAAAATGAGGTTTGGTGTTTAGGGTCATAATGCACCCCGAGTTCACATGCCGCAAAGGTTCCGCATGGCGAGATTAGGCAGATTTGGTAGTTTCCCAAAATAAAGAGGACCCTAGTATGGAGCCCCCAAATACTATCCTTATTCTTGGGACCCCAAAATAGTACACATAATTTTGGGAAACCCCCACTTGAACCAGGGTGAGTCTAAGCTGAAGGTTTTTAGACATTCGAACGGCCTCCGCGAACCCTAAAACCCTTGACCCCTAAATGCCAGACCCCCTAGAACCTAAAGCCTAAACCATTAAACCCTAAAACCCTGTTTACGTGTTTGAGGCCGGCTCACCATGGGCACCCATTCTGGCCAGGGTTTAGGGTGTAGGGCCCTCCAACTTGAAAACTTGAAAGTGCTCGCAATAATTCAATGCGGCGACTTTGATAGCTCAAGAGTCTACTTGGAGGGTCATGGGCACTCAGCAAGCAGGTTAGTGATGGGAATGGCTGGGGCTTTAGATGGCTGATAGGGCTCATCAACTTACGTACTCAGTTCCCCTGACCCTCCAAGTAAGTACACAAGTCCAAGCTAAGTGCCAAGGAGGTAGTGTTGAAGCCTGAAAAACTTACAACCCTATTCGCTTTTAATCCTTGTGAAACTATGGCTTACTAACACCAATCCTCATTGTAATTGTTCAGCCCTCTACATTACGCAAGGAAACCAAACGCCCCGAACACAAAGGTGAGCTATTGCCTTCCCCATACACCGCACGCAACAAGCCAGGTGAGTAGTTTTTTTTTGGGTGGTGAAACTCAGTAAGATTATTTTCCTCATATAAAATACTATACCCCAAAAGGAGGATATAATCTTACTCTATATTGGGTACCATAGTATCCCCAAATAAAATACTACTCAGGTGGGGGCCTAAACAGGTGAACTATGAGTTTTACACGGTATTTATCCAGGGACCAGGTCGGGCTATTTAAGGACTAGGTACTAGGGGCCCCCCAAACGATAAACCACAGACCCTAAACCAGCCTAGGTAATAGCAAGCTGACAAGGAATCCAGGACCATGATTTTAGGGTTTAGGGTAGGAATCATTAAAAGTCACTTACGCTTCCACAGTAATGTTGGGGCCTGTCTGTGGAGTTGTCAACGTTGCTGCCTTTCTTTGGGTTCCCACTATCTCACGCCCTTTCGTGTGCCCAGAAGGGGACGATTTTTTTCGGAATAGAGTTCTGGGAATACATTATACTATGCTACAGGTTATTATGGTTACGAAAATGTATATTGCCAAGTGTTTTGGCCCTCAACCTATGGCGTACTTTGGTTTCCCTTGAACCCCTTAGCCGGCAGGTTTCATCGTAGTTCCTGTTAGCATGTTATAGAACCGTATCCCACTTGCATGACAAACACCACAGGAATTACATAGAAGCCGATAAGAGCTAAAGCTCTAAAGCTTGAACGCCAAACTGTGAAACGCTGGAAGTCCAAAAAGAATATGAACCATTGTCTAAACTCCTAGTATCCCCCTTAATATCCCCTATAGTAGTCCCCTATATAACCCCCCTGTAAGGAGTTTAGTCTATGGCTCATATGAACCTCTTAGTTCGACTCTGCGGACCTAGAAACTCCTAACCCTGAATCCTTGGATTCTACAGACCTCAAAAGGTTGAAGGTCAGCTTAATTCATTAACAGATGAGCCACGTATAGTCTAAAGTCCTAGTATGCCGCTTAGTGACCGCTATAATACTCCCTTATCGAATCCCCTATACAACCATCCTTCAAAGAGTTTAGACCGTTTAGACAAAACCTCAAAAAAGCGGCACGTAGGGACCCGAAGGGGTATAGAGGGATTATAAGGGGATTTGAGGTGTCCCAAGAAGGGGCTGTATAGGGATAATTATGGGTTCAACTAGTACCCCCCTCTATACTAACTCCCCCCCAGGTTCCCCCTTAATTAACCTTAATTAAGGCTAATTATCCCTAAATAACCTTAAGGGGGGAACCTAGGGGGGTAGTATAGAGGGGGGTACTAATTGAACCCATGAGATAATATTGAGAATCTCCCGGATGCGAGCAACGGTCAGTTCCATGAACTAACGGCAGTCGTTCTTGCCGGTCCTCAAGTCCATGCTGCAACACCTCAGCCAGTCAGGCTTTCTGGTTCAGGGTTAGGGTTTAGCGCTTTATGTTCCGTACCAGGACCCCACAACAAATCCTAAAAGGGGTCTGAATAATTCCTAAACCCTGAACCCCAAACCGAAACTGCGGGTACTTGGGCTTTAGAGAGCGCGCTTGAAGGGACCCTATGACTATGATATGATGGTTATAGGCTCCTAATTTTGGGGGCTGGGGTTACCAAAATCCTCTTCTTAACTACTTGCAGGGTCTATAGTCCCCCTTAAATAGATAGAATATGGGGTATATGGGGATCTTATTGTAACATACCCAAAGCCTTATTCTATCTACTGCCACAAAGGTGAGCTTATAGTCCCCNNGGGGACTATAAGCTCACCTTTGTGGTCTCCTTAACAAGGATTACACTATGTCGGATTTCTATCAGGGCCCTGCTATTCCCCCCCAATTTATGGAAGCTACCATGGTGGCTTAAGCGCTTAGCTTCAAGGCTCTATATCCCCTAACTCCTTAAGACCCTACATGTTCCGTCCAGGTACATGGTGGAAATGGTGCCGCCGATGACCTGCGAGCAGGTCCACTGCGGCGGAGCCGGCGGGGCAGGAATAGTCACACCCAACCTTGGCGTTGAGGTAGGGTTTAGGGTTTAGGGTTTAGGCTTTAGGGTTTAGGCTTTAGGGGCATGGGAGGGCCTAGGGCTGAAGCTACAGCATGCAGGCTAAGGTACAACCTTTAGGCTCTAGGAATAAAGCAGGAAGTTTAACTTGTTTTCTGTCTATCTGCAATTGCCTTCCTGGCTCATGAAAATAATCAGAAATGCCTTCTGACAAGGTCGGCTTCAGGCAGTGCATTATGTGAAGCGGCGTGCACTTGAGAGGAGGTTTAGGGTTGAGGCTTGAGGGTTTGGGACGTAGGGTGCAAGGTTCAGTGCCATGGAGAGATCATACACGCATGATAGGAGGGCGCTGTAAATGCCAAAGCCACGCATGACCCAAAGCCACCTAAAGCCCAATGATCCATGGGTTTCCTTACTACCCCCCATGTTTCCCCTTAATGAACTTTAATTAGGCCTGATTATTCCTAAATGGCCTTAATTAATGGGGGAACCTAGGAGGGGGCGGGTAGTATAGAGGGGGGTAGTAGGGGAACCCATGGATGATTCTCGCAGAAAGTACATAAAATGATGTCCTTAATCGCAGGCTTTCGATTTCGGGTAACATGGAGTTACCCTCAGGTGTCATCAAAGTTCGAATAAAATCTGTGAATAGGATTAGGCATCCTGCCAGAGACTTAGGGCCTTAGAGTTTAGAGATTGGGGCTTATAAGGTGCCCCCTAAACCCTAAACTCTAAACCCTAAACCAGTAGGAATGATCCTGAGAAACTCCCAGATGAAGATAAGAGCAATGCTCAGCTATCAGAATAGGCAGGTTTGACGTGTGAACTCGCTGCTCCGCTCTTTCTCAGGCCACGCGTTGGGGTTCAGGGTTTAGAGCTTCGGGTTTAGGCCCCAAACCCTCTAAAAACAGCAACACCGAGCAGTGACAAGGTTTTTTTCTTTGTGCTTGCCCTTGGGCAGTGAAATGTGTTTTGGGCCCATCGGTCCCTGAAGAAACGCAAGAACAAAAAAAAACACAGTTCTCAAAACAGTACTACCATTGAAACTCTAAACCCTAAGCCCTAGATTCATGCGTGTATTTCTACTGTGCCTTTCGTCTATATACATATGGAGTTTGTATCAACCTCACCACCCCCGAATCCCAAGTCCCCCCCCCCAGATTGGTCCATTGCACTCTATCTGAGAGCTTTCGTGGCAGCCCCGCAGCACCCCACATGAGCTACAATAAATATTGCCCAGATAATTGATGGACATGGGTTCCTGATAAGGAAAAATACATTAGGGACACACCAAACCCTAAACCCTAAACTCCAAACGGTCCCTATCAAATCAAGAAGCTTAGGCCATCTCTACATAATTTACCTACAGCCGAATTAGTTGTGACCCATGAACTGCTGGGTATGACCTATTAAACTGTATGCATGTGGAGGTTAAAAGCAACTATAACCCAATGTTAACTGTACCCTCCAAGTCCCCAAGCACGTTCAACATCGAGGTCTAAAAGCTGTAGGAAGTGCCACATAGAATTGGCTTATAACTACCCTCAACCCTGTAATTGCATTATGCTTACTCTACATCCTCAACAAACCGTATATAAACCTATAACAACCAGAGCTAGAATTGAATTATAATTACCCCAAACCTTCAAGTAAGTGGGGTTTCAAGCAAGCCTGCCCACCCCCCGGGGCCCAGCTATGCCCTAAGCCCGGAACGGTCATTTTTACCAGCTCTATATAAATCCTACATAACCCTATAGAATCCAATTATATAACCCTGAACCCCTGCATAACCCCCATAGAACCCTGAACCTTGAATCTGCCTATAGAGTTCCACATAATCCGTTTAGGGCCCTACATTACAGCCGCCCTAAATCCTAAACTGCGAAACTTGGCGAGAAGCGGGCACAAAGGCGATGCCGTGGGTAAGTTGACGGTGCCTACCGCTCCGATAGCCAAATATGCCTTCGATTGGGGTTTGGGGGTTAAGGCTTAGGGTTTAGGATTTAGGGTTTAGGATTTAAGGCTTAGGATTTAAGGCCTAGGATTTAGGGCTCAGGATCTAAGATTTAGGGTTTAGGATCTAGGGCTTTACATGGATTAGGATTTAGGGTTCAGGATTCACGGTTGGGGATTTGAGTTCCTGAGGTTGGAAGGAAAACCTCAGAGGCGCAGTTCAGGGCCCATGGTTACCATGGTTAGGAACCAGGAAACAAGGAGGGCATGAGGTTTTGAGTTAAAAGCCTGAACCCTAAGCCCTATAGACCCTAAACACTAAGCCCTAAAACGTAAACCCTGAACCCTAAACTCAAACCCTAAAGTCAATTTGGAGTTTTCTGGTCTTCAAGGCGTGTGCTTTAAGGATAAGTTTTAGAGTTGAGCGCTTAGGGGCTGCAAGGGGCGCAGTTCCCAAACATGCCTTCAATGCTCAGAGCTCACGATTTAGAGCTTAGGGTTTAGGGTCTTAATGTTGGACCCGGTTGTGCCTCATGGCCGGCTTATTCAGGATCAGGGATAGTAATGCGAGGTCCACTATCATGTGTTTTGGCTTGGGGGCCCTGACAATATAGGAAATATTCACAACTCTCGACTTCTCAAATCAATCCACAGGGACCTCAGAAACATGGGAGGCTAAGGGCCCTGATTTTTCTGGGGGTCCTATTGTTAGGGGGGCCAACACTAAAGCAGGTCCAACATTGGGGTTTAGGGTTTAGGGCCCAGGGAATCGAGAGACTGGTCCGTAGTCCCACTTTGCTGCGAATATCTAGAGTCTCTACCAAAAAATGAACCATACTCTAAACTCCTTAAAGGGGGAAACCCCCATAATATGTAGAATAATAGCCCTAAACCCATAATAACAGCCACAAAGGCAACTTGTTCACATACCTTTGGGGTCCAGGTATAGCTCATATAGTGAAGCCAGTCACTCTGAAACCCTGAGCCCTTGAGCTCCGATCTACTGCGCTAGGGTTTAGGGGTTTAGCGTTTAGGATTTACGGGTTTAGGGTAGCAATCTTACCCACTTAGATCATATTAGGAAGTGTAGCCCACAAAGCTGCAGAATGATGGGGTAGCAGACAAAGCCCTGAGCCTCTCCCATTCTGAGCCATGCGTCTTGGTGCTTGATCAAGCAAAGTTGTTCTTGAAGTACAAAGCCACCCAAAAAGGGATTCCGTCCTACTCTCTAGAAGGAAGTTTAATAACCTCACCCTGAGCCCCACACCCCTCCGTAAACCCTAAACCCTAAACACTGAAACCCTAGAATCGTAAACCCTAAACCCTGAAACCCTAAAACCCTAAAATCTGAACCCTAAAATCCCAAACTATAAACCCTAAAACCCTAAAATCCTAAAATCCTAAACCAATCCTAAACTCAGCTTCGCGTAGCCCAGGATCTGAGCAGCTTCCATCACTTCCACAGCCAAAGCCGCCACCGATGCCAAGGCCCGTCCTCAGTTTAGGTTTCGTTTTAGTTTTTAGGGTTTAGGGTTTAGGGTAGGGTTATATTAGGGGCTTTAGGGGGCTGAGGATTATTTTAAGGTTATATAGGGGTTATAGGCTTAGGTTTCTTGGTTGGCCTTTGGAACCAGGGTTTAGGGTTTAGGGCCATTATTTTACATACTTTTGGGGTTTGGGGTTTAGGGTTTAGGCATTTAGGGTTTCATGGCTTGGTTGGCCTTGGGAACCCTTTGAAAAATGTTAGTATATAGGGCCCTTATGAAACCAATTAGGGAAAATATTTAAGTATCCCAAAGGCCAACCTAGTTTAGGTTTAGGTTTAGTCTTGATTAGACTAGGGCTTTATAAGGGTTATATAGGGGTAATGGAAAGGAATATGGAAACTACTATATTATAATAGGGTTTAGGTTTTAGTCTTGCTTATATTAGGCTTAGGTTTAGTTACAGTTTAGTTTTTAGGGTTTAGGGCTTTAGGGTTTTAGGGTTTTGGGGTTTAAGGGCTTCAGGGTTTTTAGGGCTCAGGGGTTTAGGGATTAGGGTTTTAGGGCTTCAGGGGTTTAGGGCTTTAGGGGCTCAGGGTTTAGGGGTTTAGGGTTTAGGGGTTTTGCATCTTTTTTTTGCCTAGGCTGCCTAGGGAGGAGGACCTTTAGAGCTTAACCTATATAGAAACCCTACATAACCCATATGATAACCCTGTATATTTGGTGTACAGGGTGCGGGGTATGTGTGGGTGCTTTGGATGTACAGCCTAAACCCTAAAACCCCTAAAACCCTAAACCCCTAAAACCCTAAACCCCTAACACCCCTAAGACCCAGAACCCAAAAACCCTAAAATCCCCAAACCCTAAACCCCTAAACCCCTAAAACCCGAACCTCGTGGTATCGGCCCATGCTGCCGGGAGCCGCAGGCTTGCTGTTACTTGAGAGGCAGCATTGTTGTGTACATTTAGGGGTTTCCCAAAATTAGGGGTACCTTATTAGGGGTCCCCATATTAAGGATTATAGTATATTGGGGTCTATATTGGGGTACTCTAATTTTGGGAAACTACCATTTAGGGGGTAGGGTTACAGGTTGAGGGTTTAGGATGGTTTGGGGGCTTATGCAAGCAGTCTGCAGACGATCCGCACGAGAATGACGCCTGGATCCTTAGCCAGAACATGGGATATACAAATCATTAATTACGCCGGCTTTCTGCGCCGTGTTGAATCCGCGGCGGAATTGACCACTTTGGAAGTCTCCTGTCCAGCTATGGTGTAAGCGTTAACGAACGCTGCGTTCGCTTGCGCTCGCTCAGCCTCGCTGCGGTCAGTGTCCTTGTAAACCTCCTCAGCCTTGGCGAAGAAGCTTGTCACGGCCTTCTGCGGTTTCAGGCAGGCCCTGGCTTCATCATTGTCGGTTTAGGGTTTGAGGTTTGAGGGATATCTATATATATATATACATATATAGATATGAGCCCTTAAAGCGGGGTTATACAGCGGGTTAAATAGGGTCTATTGCCATGACTTAGGGTTTGGGGGTCATTTTGGCCTTGGAATTCTGAGATTGAGGAAATTTTGAGAACCCTAAGCCATGGCATGTTTATATGGGCATCAATTTAATTTCCGAGGTTTAGGGTAATTAAGTTCGAGTTTAGGGTTGAGCGGAACCAGTACGTCAACTCAAGTAGATGGTCCGGCAATTCAACCCTAGGCGACATTTGCGGGCCGTTTTTGGGAGGCAGCCACGGTTAAAGGAATACTTTAGGCCGCCTTGATTTAGTAAGTCTACCCGGTAATAGGGGTTATGGGTCTTAGAATAGGGGTTATTGGTGATAGTAGGTATGCTTAGTGGGTCAACAGATCATCCAAGTACCCTAAACCTTAATCCCTAAACCCTAATTCCTAAACCTAAACCCTACTCCCTAATCCCCTAAGTCCTAAACCCTATGCAGAGTTTAGGGTTGGGTGTGCCAAACGCATCCTCAAATCCTACGCGCTTACCTCGCCTTGCTGGCCCTGACTCAAAACGGCAGGTGGGGGTTTCCTCTAGGGTTTAAGGTTTAAGGTTAACCTACAGGTGGAGTTTTCAAAGCTGACCCCCCGGCCCCCCTCACCATTCCAAGACCTCAACTCTAAAAATTGCCACCAAAAAAACGGCAGCTGTTTTCCAAACCTTCGTCCATGCACTCGACCAGGAGCCGGGCTTCGGACATTTCAACCCCTCCAGCCCCTTTTTTTGGCCTTAGGGTCTATAGGAACCAATCCCTATCCATAAACCCTAAGCCCTTGAACCCTGGATCAATAGGTTATGGTGCTTAGAATAGGGGTTGTTGGTGATAGTAGTTATACTTACTGAGTCAACAGATCATGCAAGTACCCTAAACCCTATTTGAACCCTAAACCCTAAATCCTAAACCCTAAACCCTATTTAGCCCTTGAACCCGTTGAGCCTACCCCTGAAAATGAAAACCCCTAAGGTCTGGACCTCCAAACCCTCAGCCTTAAACCCAGAACCCACTTTCGGACTAAATTTAGGTTGGGGGACCTATAGGGGACTATCTAGGGTTTAGGGTTTTTGGATTTAGGGCTTTGGCTTCAGGATTTCTGATTTAAACACCCCAAGAACCCCAAAGGCCCCAACCTTAAACCCTAAACCCTACAAGCCCTAAACCCTAAACCCTAAACCCTATAAACCCTAAACCCTATGGACCCTAAACCCTAAATGAACCCAGTCTCCATGCCAGTTTGTAGGTAGCACCAACAGAGAAGCCCAAGTCGATTGTGACGTAGCCAACGGGAGGCCTGGGCTACCCTTTAGGGTTTAGGTTTTAGGGTCCATGTACCCAATAATTAGGTCCCTTTAAAGGGGATATATAGGGATATATAGAGTCCATTTTAGGGTTTAAGGCTTAGGGTTTAGGACGTAGGGCTTAGGGTTTAGGGCTTCAGGTTTAAGCTTCAGGACGTTTGACTATCTACCTAGACCCTTAAACCCTACCTTGTTTTAGGATACCTTGCTTAACCTGAACCCTAAACCCTTTCTGCATCTGTAAACCTTAAACCTTCATGTCTGGTATCGTCTGTATACAAAAGTAACCCTAAACCCTAAACCCCGAAACAAGGGTAGGGTTTTATAAAGTCGAGGTAGACCTCAAAATCTGGGCTGAGGGCATGTACGGGCTATATACGCGAGGTATATACGGAACCTCAGATTAACGGCCCGTAATAAGGGGCCAATACTTCTAACCCCAGGCCTGATAGATATCCTCTCACGTTTGGCTTGTTTTTTGACCCATTTTTTCCACCTGCAGGACAGTTGGAAGATACCAGTCGTACCCAAAGGGTCCATGTAGTTATATGGTATATACTTGGGCTTTAAAGTAGGNNTAAACCCTAAACCCTACCATATACCTACATGGACCCTTTGGGGTACAGGGGCATGAGCAGGACTTAGGGTTTAGGGAGTACGCTGCATCCAGGGCTTAGCGTTGCAGAATTCAGGCTGTAGAGTTTACAGCGAGGTTTGCAGGTAGCGCAAGAGGGTTTAGGGTTTAGGGTTTAAGGTTTAGGGTTTTAGGGTTTAGGGTTAATTTCGGAAACCCGCATATGCAGCTTGATGCCGTTTGTTTAGGCTTGCTGGAACCGTATTCAACATTAGAATGGCGAAGGCCTCCTCCCCAAATAACCGCTTTAGTTAACCACTAACCCTATTTGGAGGGTCAGGGGGGCATAGTAAGTCGGTTAGTAATGGGAATAACTAGGGTTACTATATGGTTTATATGGGATACTGACCTGCTTACTAAGTCCACCTGACCCTCAACCTTCACTGCGAGCTTCTGGGCGCGGCAAGAATATCTCGGGCTCCTGGTGCCATTCCTTCTGCCACTATCTTCGCTACCCTTGCGCAATACTCTTTTGCCCAGGTAATACATTCCTGCACTCCCTGAAAATAGAAGCTTCCCTCTTCAATGTTTGCTTCCCTGTTCAATGTTTGTATTACATCTGGAATATATACTGTACACGCGGGTGGCAATATTCGTTAAAATTGGGAAACGTATCAATCGAGGTTCCGAGAGCACAGCTTCAACAAACAATAGACCCGAACCCTAATTAATCCCTAACTTCTGAATCCTAATCCTTAAATCCTAAACCCTGATCCCTAAACCCCTAAACCCTAAACCCCTAAACCCCAAAACCCTAAACCCCAAAACCCTAAACCCTAAACCCTAAACCCTAAGTAATCCTCATCCCGAAATCCTAATCTGGGCTCCACCAAGGTCATACGCTGCACGCCAGGTGCCCTGAAATCCAAGACAGTGGCACTGACATTTCGAATTCTGCAAGTTTAGGGTTTAGGATTTAGGGTTTGGGGCTTAGGGTTTCAGGTTGGGGTTTGGGGTCTAAGTTTTGAAGCTTAGCTTCCGAGCTTGGTGTATAGATGGGGTTACAGCCCTGAGCCCAAGCCCGAAACCGAAAGCCGTGTTTAGGCTTACGCTTTGTTCTGTGAATGCACCTCTGGAGGTTGAAAAAGGAATGTCAAAATATAGACACCAACCCAGACCCCTGGCGGATCTAGAAAGTAGATCCCTCTTAAGGGGTCCTAGGAATTACCCAATAGTAGTATAGGGTACCCTAATGGGGGTTCTACTTTCTAGATCCTCCCAGGGGTCTGGGAAGATGGTGTGATCCGGTATTTTGTAATAAGGAATCCAAAAAACAGGGCCCCCCTAATTTTTGGAAAGCCTTAAACCCCGTTTTACAGCCTTTATACCCCTTGTGCCGGGACACAACGGACCCCTAATTTTTGGAAACTCCCCATTTGGAAAGCGCCAATCATGAATAAAATTCCTAAACTCATGGTACAAGGCGGGACACAACAGGTCGTTCAAAAACATGCAGGGGGGTCTAAGGATGTCTTGGGGTTAAGGGTATAAGGTGTATGCTCCCTAAAACTAACATGAAAGTCCAGAAAAGGTCCTTAGAAAGACCTTCTCCTCCTTGAAATTGTTTTTCACTATCTCAGCTACCATGTTGGCTGAAGTTAAAGGGTTTAGCCCATTTGAAGCCAGAAGCTTGCCCCGGATCAGATTGTCCAAGCTTTGCGCGCCGGTGAGAGAGGCTCCAATAGAGAAGCCTACGGTCCCTGCCGAAGCTTGAGGTGGAGGAGGAGGCTGGCTGTGATGTGTGTAGGGTTTAGGGTCACAGTTCAAAATGCAGGGCCTCAAATAGTTGGGACCAAGTTTTGTGTCAAATTCCGTTACAATCCAAAACGGTGGGATTCTTAAATCATGGTCCCTCAAATGACACACACTCCCAAGGTTTTCCTAATGTGGGGGCACCATTTTCTGGAGTCCTCCAGGGCTTCCCATTGGTGAGAAGTGGCGTAAGATACAAGACCTGGGGAATTCTCAAAGAGGGTCGATCGGGGTTAGGTTTTAAGTGTAGGGGGTTGGGATGTTTGGTTTAATTACTGTTTTGGGTTTGCGGCTTATTTGCTATACATCTCAACATATCTCAACATATCTCAACTTGACGTACGTCTATCACAACCCTGAACTGATGCCCTAAACCCTGAGCCTTAAAACCCTAAACCCTAAAGCCCCGACGGCCCCAAAACCCTCATCGCAAACCCCTGCGATTGATTAATTACGAACAACCACATCGTTAAGGGTTCAGGATTTAGGCAGCACCCCAGGGGCTCTGAACTGGATTTTTTGTCTACGAAGTCCTGCAGGATTTAAAATATATGGCAGTTTCCTGAAATATGGGGACCCCAATATAGACCCCAAAATACTATAGTCCTTAATATGGGGACCCCAACAAGGTACCCCTAATTTTGGGAAACCTCCATATACCCTATGAAGGTGAACCGAACCCAACCAGATTGTGAAAAGGCTTCCACTTGCATTCACAAGTTATATTTCCAAACTGGGATCCGATCAACAACGTCCATTCCAGGGTCCTCGAACTAAGTTCTAGCAGAGAAGGGCTCAAAGAAATGTCCAACAATGACCCCGATATCATCTGCTGCAAGCCAAAAAAGGAAACCCCGAACCACCCTTCATTATCATGGGTTCCACTACCACCGCCTCCTATGCTACCCCAAAGATTCCCCCCTTTTTAATTAAAGTCATTTAGAGATGTTAAAGGGGGCACCTGGGGGTGGCAGTTAAGGCGGGGGAGGGATGGTAAAGGAACCCCTGAGATTAAGGTGAGTAGCGTTGTGTTTGGTGGTTGAGCCTAGTAAGATTAAAGTATATTCCTTATATAAAATACTATACCCCAAAAGCAGGATACAATCTTACTCTATATTGGGTACCATAACATCCCCAAATAAAATACCACTCAGGTGTGGTTCTCCAAATACACTCATCTGACACCACCGCCCGTGCCCCACATACCGGCAAATGGCCAGACTGATTGCATGCGGACACAACTAGTCATGCTAGAGATATGGCAGGAGCTGATGAACCCTGCCAAGTTCCAGTCTTACCTGGTCAGATGGGTTATAGCAAGGAAGAAATCAAAGTTATGTTCAATGACCCTATCACTTTCAAACCTGCAAAAAAGGCACCACGTTTAAACGTGCACTTAAGCTGTTGCCTGAGCAACATTCCACGGAGCCCATTAACACTTGCAGTTTTTGGATATCCTGAGATGGTCCTGAGCACCATCTTGGCACCCCGCAGTCGACAGTGCACATCTTGGAAACGATTTTGGCCCAGATGAGGAGACAAGGACATGTCCCGTAGCATACGTCTCACCGAAAGAGGTGCGGAACAATTAGCGTACAGTCGTTCTGTCCCCTTGCCGCGCATGAAAGCCAGGCTAATTAGGAAGTAACAGTTTGTATATCCCATGATGTAGCTAAAGATCCAGACGTCATTCTCGTTCGGAATGTCTGCAGACTGCATGCCCAAAACCTGTGACCGCGGAACCCTTAACCCCTAAGACCCTCAACCCTGGAAACCAACAAAACATCAAAACCTAGACTCGCTTCTAAACGACTCGCAAATGCGGACCCCTCTTGCTTGTAAACCGTCACACACATACGTTTCGTCCCACTTTGCCTGGAATAATCTCCTGGGTAGTCTGGGAAGAGTAGAAGATACCTACGCCCTATGTGGGGCTTCAATTGGGGAACGTACGTGTGTCATGTATATACTACTTTACACGTGCAAAAAAATATATATATATATATATCTGCGAGACCGAGTTTACCAGGAAGACTGTCGTAGGTGCTCTTCTCTGACACCCCACAACAAAGCTCTTCTTGTGAAAGGAGATCCCCATGTAGGGATGCTATAAAATTCCATCATGCTTCGCCCTCAACCCTAAATCCAAGGCCCTATACGCCAAGCCCTAAACCCCAAACCCAATCTAAACCCCAAAAAGCCCTAAGCCCTAAACCCTAAACCCTAAATCCCAGAAAGCCCTAAACGCTAAACCCTAAGCCCCCAAAACCCAACAAACCCTAAACCCCCCAAACTCCAAGCCCTCATGATTCGCCTGGAACAATATCGTAGGTGTAACCCGTTGACTGGAACTCCGCGGCAGTGCCCATGCAGGCCAAAGCCGTCAGAATCTTTGGGAGATTTGGGGTCGTTAAGGGGTTTGGGGTTAAGGGTTTAGGACCACGGTTTAGGGTCAGAGCTTGGGAGCTAGATCAGATTCAGGGTTTAGGGCTTGGGGTTTAGGGTTTAGGGGCTTAGGGTTAAAGGTTAAGGGTTTAGAGTCTAGGGTTTAGGGGTTTAGGTTTTTGAGACTCAGGGTCTAGGGCTTAGGGCTGCGGTTTTTAGGGCTTTTGGGGCTCAAGGTTGTGCGCTTTTAAAACCCCAAAGCAGAGAAACCCTGCACCTTACGATCAGGGTTTAGGCTTTGAGAATTTTAGCCTTGAAGGCCAAAGTGGTGATTTCCAAGGATATTATATGAGCCACTGTCTAAACTCCTAGTATCCCCTTTCATGACCCCTGTAGTAGTCCCCCATATAATCCCCTATATAACCCCCTTTAAGGAGTTTAGACTATAGCTCATATGGGTCCCCTCACCCTTATCTACACCAAGTCTAAGTTCCTTGTCCCTGCTCTTTGGGATCCCAGACAAAGAGGCCAGCATTTGTTCGAAATCGTACCCTAAATGGGAGTTTCCCTAAAGTAGGGGTAGCCTTTTGGGGGGTCCCTACAATGAGGACTATAGTATTTGGGGGTCTATATTGGGGTCCCCGTATTTTGGGGAAACTACTAAATTCCTAAATCCCAAGCCACATAACAGCAGATGGCGAGATCAACCCGGGTCGTCTCATTCTCTTGCTCAGTCAGCCGCCGTATAAAGCAATGGATAGCAAGCTCTGGTGAACAAAAACCGAAGAAAAACGGAACCCAGTTTCCGAGTTCCCTAGGCCCAAACGGCATATCCCTTTGATATTCGCCGCGCTTGGAAACGTCTAACTCTTGCCTAAAAAAAACATTTCAGACCACCATCAACCTATGGCAGGTCTCACCCAGCTACAGGGGATGACCATGACTTCCATGGCTCCTCCCCCCACCACCATCCCCTACGATTGCTGCGGGGTACTCTCCGCATACCTTATCCCTAATATGAGCCATAGGCTAAACTCCTAGTATCCCCCTTAATAAGCCCTATAGTAGTCCTATATAATCCCCTATATAACCCTCTTTAAGGATTTTAGACTATGGCTCATATGAAGCAACTTGAATTTTCCGAGAGCTCCCAGCTCCCATAACTGCTGCAGCCCTCGCACAGGGGACAGACTGCAGGGCGGTGCTGCACTGGTCAACTTATCTTAGCATAGCTGGGAACGCAGGAATGGAAAAGAAAATGGAATCTGCTATAATGGGTTATATAGGGACTACTACAAGGATCCATTCCTTCATTCTTAGCTATGCCTTGTATGAGCACTTCCGAAGAGCTTCTCTTTCTGTGGTCTGCAAGGCGGATGCGCGACATTTTCAACCATCCTAACATTATAAGAGCCCCGAAAGTGTAAAGCCTACCGACTCGGCTACTGGGAGGAAGACAGAAAGCCCCAAACCCTAAACCCTAAACCCCTAAACCCCCGAACCCTAAATCCCTAAACCCGAAACCCCTAAAAAACCGAGGGGCGGCTTGGACCACTTTCGTGGCAGCTTCCTGGGAAGATAGGGTCCCAGGTGAGCCAGGTACCCAGTGTCGAATTCGATTCCCTAGAATCGGGTTTGGGGGAGATTATATTTATACACAGCTTATGATGGGTTTATATGCTCTTGAATTAAATCCCCCAGAATAACATGGGGTGTAGGCGATTATTTACAGCTTGTAATTGGTTTATATGCAGGAGACCTATTTTAACCGCATCCCAGGCTCCAAGGGTCTGGATATTTGTGATTTGGGCAAAGCTTGCAGTGTTTCATTCCTTTGAATGACAGGGCTCGAAAAAGATGGAATCAAGCAACAAATGCCGGACAAGTCGGGCCAATACACTATGATAATTACTGTCCTTCGTAGCCCGATTTTGTAGGCCCCCATGCTGGCTTTGAAGCAACATAGCCAAGTTGCTGCGACCTTCTTCGCCGCCTTCTTGACTGTCTTCACTGCTTTCTTCACCTTTTTCTTCACCTTCCTCACGGCTCTTCTGAAAAATCCGCCCCTGGGCCCATGTAACAGTCATCAGGGCTTTTGGATTGTGCTGCCAATTTGGGTGTCTTACTGGTGGTTAGTAGGAGTAAAGGACTATAATCTCCTATATCATCCCTATATATATATATATGTATACATGGTATTCCCTTGTTCCCCACTAACCACCAGTAAGGTATACTGGGCACGCAGGCTTGGTGTGTAGCAGATGGTAGAGATTTTTCTCTCAAGTCAAACTTGCTAGTTGTTACACCTCAAAATTTGATTGGATGCTCGCTTGACTGGAATAATTCTTGTTATAGGTCCAATGACCCTGTTATTAGCCAGACGTACTGGGGGCCTGCAAATATGGATCGAACCGCTGCATAGGCAAAGGCCCAAGGAAAAGGCCGGGACTTTGGAGTTTGGGTGGGAAGAAAGTAAGCCCTTTACCTTCACCCTTGCATGCAGTCCCCCTTAAGTAGATAGAATATGAGGTATATGGGGATCTTATTCTAATATACCCGAAGCCATATTCTATCTACTTAAGGGGGACTATAACTCAAGGTCAAGCTAGAAGTTGAGGCTTCTAAGGCAAAATCGCAGAATTCAAAAACTTAAGGTGAACTGATACTCATGAAGTCCCATGACAAACGCATGCAGGTTTTCAAGCGCTGGAGCAAGACTGTGTTGCTGCGAAGTTCGTATCCGAGATGCCAAATCATCCTACAAATGCGCAGTGACCTTTAGGATCTGCACGATGAAGGCTGGCCCTTCAAAACAACACACCACCCGCATGTGAACCATAGTCTAACTCCTGGTATCCCCTTTAAAAAACCCTATACTACTCCCCTATATTCTTCCCTATCCCCCTTTATAAGGAGTTTAGACTACAGTTCATATGTAGTTCCCGTATCATGGTATGCCCTGGAAACATTCCTGATGCGAGGGTTGGGGGTGGTGGGTGAGTAGTAAGGGCGCTATGTCAGCTTTTGGGACTTAGGGCTCTAGGGTTTAGGGTCTAGTGGTTTAGGGCTTAGGGGTCTAGGGTTTAGGTTTTAAGGCTTAGTTTAGTAGCCACCTGAAAACCCATCATCTTGGGGCAAGTGGGTATTGCTATGGACATTTGGAAGGTCTGGGTAGGGTTTACCTGGAACTGCCAATGTAATTCCGATTTGCGTTGGGTAGCGCCTTTTGGGGCTAGGGTTTTTGCGCTGACACCCAAAGAGGTATTTAGGGTTTAGGGTATTGCATGGGAGGATTTAGGCAATTGTCCAAGCAACCAAAAAGTATCTACCTATAGAGCCCAAAACACCTACATCGTAACCCCCCAGCGTCCTTGTGTACATATTTGGGCATCCATATGGGCATAATAGTCGCCTTTTCTAATCTACTATATCAACCCCTCTAAGGAATATTATGGCTGCTGTGATGATATTCCCGCCCTAAACCCCACACCCTAAAAGCCTTACGGACACAGCTTGCAGGCGTAGCGTCTTTCTTCTTCTTCTCCTCCTTCGGCGTCTTCTTCGCCTTCGCCGTTCGCTTGTATCATCGGCCTTCGTCCGCGCGGCTATCTCGAGTCTACCGGGTTGCCCACTTTTTTGGGTTTAAGGTCTAGGGTTGGGGTTTGGGGTTTAGGGTTTAAGGTCTAGGGTTAGGGTTTGGGATTTAAGGTTTACGGTTTGGGGTTAGGATTTGGGGTTTGGGGTTTAAGGTCTAGAGGGTTAGGGTTCAGAGAATGTTCAGGCCCCTTGTGCCTACATAATGTCCCAGTTACTCTGATTGAGCTAGGCCAAAAGCAAGGTACAATTTTGGATGCCGGACCCTTGTACCCTTAAATCAGGTATGCGGGTATATGGTCACATGTGTACTTAGGGTTTAATAGAAGGTAGAGAGAAGGTCAAAACATCTTGTAGTAGGACTATAGAATCCCAAAAAGTGTATAGTGTGCCTACCCAGATACCACGTGAACCGGCTTCAGCCCCCGGTATATCCACTACCCCTAAACCCTTACATGAGCTACAGTCAACATATGCTACGTACATATGGACATGGGTTCCTTGTTAGGGAATATATGAGGGACTATACTAAACGACAAGAGGGACCTATGTCCACTGTTCATGGGTCCCTAAAATTATAAAAGCCAATACTGGCAGCAGCTCAATGTGCTACTGCCCTCCTGATACACAAACCTCTTAACCCTTTTTTGTTTTTGCAACAGGCTTTCTGAGTCCGCCCGGTAGTAGGAGCACTGAGCACCACCACAGTTGCTTTTAAAGCAACCCCACCCCCAACCCCTAAACCCTTGCGTGGTATCTGGCTCAGAGCCTCAACCCTGATCCTCTTGGTTTGGAAGCCTCATCAAAACAGGGCTCCTTTCTGCTTGTTGCTAGAAACCTAGGCGTCAAAGGAGTACCTTGGGCCGCATGCTGTGTAATCCACTTCCTCAAGCCAGCGTAGAGAATAAATTCTATCTATTATGGGTATAGGCTTTAGGGTATCAAGGGTCTGTTATGGGTGTAGAGTTTAGGGTTTCTGGTGGGCGTATAAAGAAAGGTGTCGGAAATCTGGAATTATTCGTTTTCACACTATTGGAAACCCTAAACCCTCCTACCTACAGGTAGGACTCCCTAGTAGGGGAAAACGTCACGTAGAACTCAGTCCGTAGTCTTGCCCTACACCCTAAGCGTCACTGGGTTTAGGTGTGAGGTTCTAAGATCCCAAATAGCAATTATGGTCTCCTAGTATGGGCGCCTATTCTTGGGGCTTTTGTATACCTGTTGCATACCCCACACAATACTAGAAGCCCAAATACAGCACCAGAGTTAGGACCGCGAGCTCTTTCATTTTCGGTGGGACATCCTGCTTGGAAGCTCTCGCCTTAAAATTTCTGTTTAACAGCAAGCATTCTGGGTCTTCTAATTTGGGGCTTGTTGGGGCTAGTACTTG